TCTGACCCGACTTCTATGATTCTATGATATGATTCTATGATTCTATGAAGTGCAAAGGCCTGCACATAGGACAGAACAATCCCATGCACCACTACAGACAGGGGACCAACTGGCTAAGCAGCAGCTCTGCCGGAAAGAACCTAAGGGTTAGAGTGGAGAGTAAGCCAAATAGGAGCCAACAGTGTGCCCAACAGTGTTGTGAAGAAGGCTAGTGGCATACTGGGCTGCATTAGTAGGATCACTGCCAGAAAATCAAAGAAAAAGATTTTTCCCCTCTCTTTGGCACTGGGGAGGCCACATCAGGAGTATTGTGTCCAGTTTTGGGTCCCCCACTACAGAAAGGATCTGGAAAAATTTGAGAGAGCCCAGTGCAGGGCAACAAAAATGGTTAGGGGCCTGGGGCATGACTTATGAGGAGAGGCTGAGGGAACTGGGCTTATTTAGTCTGAAGAAAAGAAGACCAAGGGGGATTTAATAATAGCAGCTTTCACCTACCTGAAGGGTGGCTCTAAAAAGGATGGAACTAGACTGTTCTCAGTGGTAGCAGATAACAGAACAAGGAGTAATGATTTCAAGTTGCAGTAAGAGAACTTTATGTTAGATATTAGGAAAATCTTTCTCACTGGGAGGGTAGTAGAACACTGGAACAGGTTATTCAGAGAGGTTGTGGACTCTGTCCTTGGAGGTTTTTAAGACCCAGCTAGACTAGGCCTCAACAAGCATGATCTAGTCGGCGATGGTCCTCCTTTGAGCAGGAGATTGGACTAGATGACCTCCTGAGGTCCGTTCCAACACTAATTTTCTATGATTCTATAACTAGAAAGCTAACAAATTCAAACTAAAGTAAGAGCCACTTTTTTTTAAACTCTGAATGATCCCACGAGCTGTCTGTCTGCTTTAGTGAAATGCATGGATATTTGGGACCCTGAAAATGCTGGGGGTTTCTGTGTAATAGTGGAATTTGCAGAGTTTGTGCCCTGGGTTGCAGTGGCAACAGAGGAGGACAGACCAGCTGCAGTGGCTGAGCTGGCAGCTGCTACTGCTGCCATGCGTGTGCACCCTCTAAGTAGAAGCCTGGGGCTGATGCACTACTGGGAAAGATTACAAGTCAAGGGAGCAGATATAAAAATCTAACTTTAATAATAAACTCATTGATGTGTCTTTCTGAGTCTTTTACAGCACCAACATACTGCTGTTGCCCAATAAATGGTGAGCAGGTCAAAATGAATGAGATGAACTATTAAAACAAACCTTTCTCCATATGCGCCAGGCATACTGTTGGATCCTGATGGACTAGATTTAGGTGGTGGTTTGGCAGATCTCGAAGGGAAAGTGTTGGAACTGTAGGGAGGTAAAGATAGCTGTGGCACTGACCTCTGTGGTACTGCTGTGGAAAGGAAAAATAAAACTAGTTAAAACTACCTAACATGAAGTTAAATATAACACTCTTACAGTAACTTGTAAAGACAGTGTTAGTGAACTAATACTGCCTAACTTCAGTTGACTGTTTAATTATGTACAATTAATGGAGCAAATGTTTTATTAAAATGCCCTTAATAGGGATATACTAATCTTGATATGATATGATAATGGTCTATGATTATTTCTGTAGAATTATTTTAGAATTCAAAATTCAGTAAAAAATAGGAAATTATGTTAAGGTTTTTTTATTATAGTTTTGGAAGCTCTACTCTAGAAAAATGATAGTCCAACTTTAGAAGCCCTTTGGCTAAAGTATATTGTATGCAGATCAAAGATAAAGCACTACAAGCAGTTCTTTCTGTTATGCCACTGTTGACCATTGGATTTGAAGCTTCATTCTTGAGCGTCATGTTTATTTTCTGACACCGTCTTCTTTGTAAGCTTCAACAGAAGGATTAAACATCTCTTTTGGCACTACCTTCAGTCACAGCGGCCACATCTACATGTGTACTTTACTATACAGTAGACTAATTAACTGCACAGTAAAGTGTCATCTTTTACACATGCGCAGAAATTAGACCAGTGTAGACCAATTTACTGCACCATTGAATAGTCCCATCAGATACAAGTACAATCTGACAGCACAATAAATTAGTGAGATTAAATGCATGTGTAGATAGTGATGCAGGAGGCTGCCTCCAGGCCAGGGCTCACCCTGGAGCCCTCTGCCAGCAATACTATGTGTGACTAATGCAAGCAGGGTTTGGCCCAATATTTAAGGAAATAAAAAATGATAGGTTGTATATTCAAACTGTACATTTTTATCAAGAAAATATATTAAATTAATTGTTATTCAGTTGTAATGAGGATAAGAAACAAGTGTTATAATTGGCTAACTGAAAGAACTTTTGCCTTAATTTCATGTTTTGTGCTTCTGCTGATTAAATGTCTGTGTGATTTTTTTTCTGAGTTATCTGTCAAGTTATAATATATTTTTATAAGTATGCACATATCTGTTAATTCATTTGAGATTTTAAAAACAAAATACAAAGAATTCCTTGATATATTAAATATATATTTTTAGATACTTACTCTCTTCTTCTTCCTGTAGAAAGAGAAAAATGTTTAGAAGTTCATAAGATCACAACTGTACTGTCCATTAATAAAACTAAAAATTAGAAGTCAGTGACATTTTCAGTATTTAAGAAAACCAAAAGTAGCTGACTGTTTTACCCATTACACCAACATTTTTCTCTGAAATGCCATATTATTTTAGAAGTTGTGATTGTGAGAAAAGGAAATCAGAGGTCAAAATTTTTTTGAAATGCATAAGCCATAAGGTATTCAACAGAAGATACCCTCAAAATGCAGGGAGAAGATATTCAGCAGGTAGAAGCTGTCATTGTTCCCAGGGCAGAAGCAGTGAATTAGCATTCTTTGAAAAGACAGCTCAAGTTAGAGAAGCCAAAACAGGGGTATGCGAAATCAGTAGTGACTTCAAATTAATATTGGCCTTAATTTTTGCTTCTCTAATTTCTAAGATAGTGTATCCAGGGAATACACTGAACTTTGTCTGGAAGAACTAACTAAAAATGAAGGCCTATGTTAAGAAAGAATTATTAGTGTCTGGGGGTTTTTAATATATACAAGTGATAGCCCATCTTAAACAGAGTTTATGCCATTTAAGTATATGTATTATAATTAAATTAAAATATTTACTTTGAAATATACTTACATCAGGTTTTTTTTCTGGTGCCCAACCCTGCCTTAATTGAAATAAGAGGAGAAAAAAAATGTAGATGGATGGAAAAATCAGTCATTCACTTTCTCTCTATTTATACACATGGCCATAATTTTAGGAGAGACCTCTGATTATATCAATTCTTTCAGACACAAAATTACACAGGTGTAACTTCTAATCTAGTTTCTTACTTTGCTCAGATAGACACCTGAGTGTTTGATCTGAAATCATAACCAAAGGTGATATAAGGCCCTGATCCTGTAATGAGCTCTATATAGATGCAGTAGGCCATTTCTAATGTGCTTATTATAGGACTGAGGCATAGTCTAGCAGCTCTACATTGGTGACTGCTTCTGCAATCTTTGACTCCCAGAAGTGGAGTTGGAAACATGATCTGGCCTTTAAATTTATCTGAGCAATGAAAAAATATTGTTCCCTTGGAACTTTTATCCAGAGTGGTGTAGTGCTTGACAGTTTTGTATAAGGACACATGGTTTCATTTCTAGTATTTAGATTATGCTGGTCAGTTAATAGAACACATTTTTTCTTAATAAAACGTAAGACCCTATTTAGAAGCTGACCATGAATGTAGGGACTTATAGGGTAGCAGAACTGAAGAGCTGGGGAATGGTTTAAACCTTTCTCTCTCCTGTATGCTGTAAAAGGAATGTGGGCTTGAGTGTGGCAATGTGGATCATGAGACAGAAGTTTCTAACAAGAAGCCAAGAAGGCTTCTGGAAGAATCATGGAGAATTTTCCTCTTTCTCTGTAATACATTGCCCTTCGCTTTCATGTTTGGCTGAGAGATTTGTTGTAGTGGGCCCTGAAAGTTCAGGGCTTTTTTTTTTTCTTTTACAATAAAGAACACAGCTCATAAGCACTGCTGAGAACACTCCTGCAACATTTACAGGTGTTGGTATTTCTGAAGAGATTAATTACATTAATTTATGTAGCATTTTCATTTTTTGTTGTTGTTGTTCATATTTGAATTTAACATAAAAAATATTATTCTTACCTTATGGGTGGTAACTTCCTTCCAGGGGTTGGGTGACCTCTTTCATATCTCTCAGCTGGTGGTATAGGAGGTTTTTGTATCTTTGCTAACTGCTCCCCCAGAGATCTATAATATGAGAGGTATGTTGTGAGATCAGGCATTGTTTAATGTAGTATCATTTGGTAACCCTGATAGTGCATTAATGTATGTAACCTGTAGTGTAAATTCTTACCTTAGATTTGGTGTCAGAGACTGTAAAACAGTAAGGAAAAGTTAAAAGAACACATAAGTATGTTTCAATGGGGATTGAAATGTACTAATAAATACCAACCAAAAATCCTCTTACCTTTTCAGGAAATGGTGGCCTCTTTCCTGAAAAGAATAAATATTTTTTTTCTAAAAACAAACTTAAGGTAATCAATATAAAGTTTACTAAAACAGTAGAGGCTCATGAGGTCAGTCTTTGACTACCTTGTTTGCACAGTGAATTTAATGGATTCAAAGACCCAAGTCCCCAAAGGTGTAAGTGCAGGAAAAGATACTTGGGCTCTGAATCATGACAGTCTTATGAAGTTATTACAATGAATAATTTCTCACCTGGTATATAAAGTTGCATCTCATTTCCAAATTATTTTCTTTTATCTTCAACATTGTTATTGGCTCTTTCATGCCATTAATTGATAGATTAAGGAGCCATTAATATTAGCCTTCTTTTTAAAAATGTAATGGCATCACATTTCATGTCTACAATCGTCATTTATTTTCCTGTCCCCAAATAAGTTTTATAACTCCCTTCTGAATTCTCTTAAATTTCTCAACATGCTTTTAAATACAGACAGCAAACCCAGATATAGTATATCACATCACAGAAGTAGTAGTAACAATGCTGTATTATCTTTTCTCTTTTCTTATACCAGTGAGTCTCAATCAGGGTGCCACAAGATCCTTTTAAGGTGTATTCACAAGATTAAACCCAGAGATTTCAAATAGGAATCCATATTGTCAAAAGCATTCTGACCTGTTAAGGTCTCTCTGAGTATTTTGCAACAGAAGAATTGCTCTGTTTTTCCATAGTCAAAAAACAAGTGCTAAGATTTTTTGAGGGATGCTTTGAATCAGAGCAGAAAAATCAGTTTCTTTCTTAAGACATGAACTGTCTTGGATTTTGGAAGGCTATTTTTTAGGGAAAACGGTGAATGTGGTATGCAAATATGGCATATTAAAACATGTTTCTTGGAAAAAAACCCTTCTACTAATAAAACTTAAATTGACAAAATTGAGCAACAAACATCAGCAGTTGATACAATGGTAATAAAATACTGACCTGGTACTGGGCTATCTCTTTCATATGGTGGCCCAGGACGATCCAGTGGGGGTTTTGTGCTTCTGTCTATAGAAGGGGCTGGGGCTAAATAAAAATATTGTGTAAAACTAATGCATAAATGCCATACAGAATAAGGTGTATACCATATCTATTGTGAACTGATTTCCCTTCTTCAAATTAAACAATACAATAATGTAGTTCATAAAAACTGGAAGGAATAACCAGGAGGCAGGCAGAGATTAAATTGTATAGTTTTTAGAATGGGATATGCAATCCATGGCAGATTAGCAGGTAGAAAGAACTACTAATATTGCTATAGCTGGAGACAGTTTAAATGTGTGCTAAGCCATAGCTTAACCTGAGACAAATTTGCACTTACGTTTTAAAGGTTTGGTGCTTCTATCTCTAGTCATATCGTTATTGCTTGATGGAGGAGGGAAAGATGGCTGCTAAAATAAATTGTTTTATAAATGGTTAAAGTTAGTCTCAGCATTCCCATTCTATGTATAAGTCATTCTCAAACCCACCACATCACAGCTGTCAACCTTTGTGTCCTTTATGACCTAAAGGCCCTTTGTGCTCTGCTGCAGAAGGTTTTCTGGTGGAATGCCTTTTTGGCAGCTGTACATCTATCTGTGTGCTGGATGCAGAAAGCACAGTACAAGGTACCTTCAAGGATAGGTGTGAGCAAGCCAGGGGCAGTAGGGAAGAACAGAGAGAATGGTCTTACATCTTGCAATTTTGCCTTAACGCAGCTGGGGTATATGATAGACAGTACACTTTGTATTTCTGGTAATAGACTTTTGAGGAGAGAAATGCAGGGCCAGGAGGGCTAAGCAGTAGGGCTGTGTGAAGCTTCAGTCACTGATTGATTCAGAGGAGATTCGGCCTGATTCAGTGGCCAAATTTCCAAATCTGAATCGAGTCAGGAGACCCTTTAATCTCTCCAAATCGAATCAGAACCCTCTGAAATGATTCAGAGAGATTTGAAAGATTCAATGATTTGGACATAGACACAGTTTTAAATGTTTTTTATATATACCTCAACTTACCAGGTGGCTTGTGAATGCTTAGATTCTGGGGCAGATCGTGTCCCACAGGAGCATGGGGCGGTCCCCAGCATGCTTGGCAGCAGAACTGAAGCACTTCCAGTCCACTTCTGGGTCTGTCACCAAGCACACTGCCCCCCTCTCTCCCTCCATGCTCCATCCGCCCCACCATTGCAACGTTCACAAGCCATACCTGGTACCTCGAGGTATGTAGAAAAAACATATAAAGCTATGTCTATGTCCGAATCTTCAGATTCAGCCAAATCAAATGGGGGACAGTGATCTGAATCAATGAATCAGGAAGTTGGGGAGGAACAACCGGCACCATACCTACAGGTTGGGGAACTCCCCTCTTGTCAGCACGGAGGTGGAAAAGGATCTTGGAGTCATCATGGACTCCAAGATGAACATGGGTCGGCAGTGTGGGGAGGCAGTTAGGAAGGCCAACCGTACCTTGTCATGCATCCACAGATGCATTTCAAGCAGGTCAAAAGAGGTGATCCTCCCCCTCTATGCGGCACTGGTCAGGCCGCAGTTGGAGTACTGCGTCCAGTTCTGGGCGCTGCACTTCAAGAGGGATGTGGACAGCATCGAGAGGGTCCAGAGGAGGGCCACTCGCATGATCAGGGGACAGCAGGGCAGGCCCTATGAGGAGAGGCTACGGGACCTGAACCTGTTCAGCCTCCACAAGAGAAGGCTGAGGGGGGATCTTGTGGCCTGTTATAAACTAGTCAGGGGGGATCAGCAGGCATTGGGGGAGTCACTGTTCCCCCGAGCACCACCAGGAGTGACCAGGAATAACGGTCACAAGCTGGCAGAGGGTAGGTTTAGGTTAGACATCAGGAGGTGCTATTTCATGGTCAGGGCGGCTAGGGTCTGGAACCAACTTCCTAGAGAGGTGGTGCAGGCTCCTACCCTGGGGGGTTTTAAGAGGAGGTTAGATGAACACCTTGTTGGGGTCATTTGACCCCAGTACTCTTTCCTGCCATGGCAGGGGGTCGGACTAGATGATCTGCTCAGGTCCCTTCTGACCCTAGAAACTATGAAACTATGAAACTATGAATCGAATCACTGCCCCTGATTCGGGTCAAATCCAAATCTGAATTGAAGACAGCCTGTTTTGCACACCCCTACTAAGCAGCCTAGAGGGGGCATAGGAATCTATAGGACATTGAGAGAGCTGCTGTTGAAGTCGATCTACCAAGTTATTCCTTCTTATTGGGAGGACTGAAACCAAAGATAAAGATGTGTTTCCACTTTCTTCAAAAAGAATGAAAATGCTTGTAATTAAGCCTGGGTATCTTCAGACACCTATTCTGTGCCCTAGTTTTATATGGATTTCAAGTAAGACAGCAGAGGTATAGAACAGAAGGCTTGACAATTCATACCACTTGTTAGGAGCTTCCATGTTTAGTAATTAACTCGTGTCCATTGTAGCTTACATCTACACTTGGGCTAGAATACAGAGATACTGCACAGCCAGATTTATGCAGAAAAAATGGTGTCAAAAGTTCTGTTACCACAATGGCTGTTAGTGGATTTGAACAATATGAGAAAATTGTCCAGTCTTCAGCAGAGGAAAAGCAATGAAGGGACTGTTACCGCTAACATCTTTCTTATCTTTGCCTGCTGCTTTGCAGATCAATTCAATTCTCACTTCTTGAATATCATTAAGGACCAGATCTTAGAAATGCTTATACCTCTGTATAGTCCCATGGAATTCCCTGGGATTTGAATAAGAGTATATAGGGTTGGGCCTGCAAATCTGCTCCTGGGATAATCCAGAAAAATCTATTCAAGGCTGAAGTTTTCTTGAGAACTGACAAAATTCTCACAATGTAAATGGCAAAGCTGACAACCGGTTCTGATTTTTCCCACAAAAATCATAATTTTTATAGAAATTAAGTGCATAAGCTTTCATGTTGGATATGATGGTATACCTGGACCTTATATAAGGTGCTGAGTAAGGGAGATAATAAAAGGAAAAGAAACATACAGGAAGGCCTCTCCCTCCATAGGATGATGGTGTGGGAGATGAACCAGGGCGTTGTGGTGGAATAGGAGGCTGGAGAGATGATCTAGCAGTCGTAGGTCTATCTGAAAAGAAAAATATATAAACTTAACAACTACACAAAAGGGTTATTTCATGTGTCTCCTACTAAGTCTTACCAAAAAAGAGGCCTCATATAAAATCTCATGCTTTCTCTTAATGTACTGTAAACTAAATATATGGTTGCTTTATTTACCAAGTCCTCTTCAGTCCTGATGAATAAAAATGTTAAGCCCATTTTTCTGCCATGTACTTGTACTACTCAATCCAAACAGAAGTGTTTTGCAGGGATATAAATAAGTTGTGAGTCACAACTGTGACCCACACACTTGTGGGTCAATGGAGAATCAGCTCCAAGAAATTATAACTGCAGAACAGTAATCCCACTTAGACCTGTTTTCAGCGGATGCTTACAACTCTTTTGTTAGAAGGGACTATCCAGGAGTTAAATACCAAAACAAGTAAAGAAAGTAAGTGTGTTTAATTCTATGCAGGTTCCAAACTAATTGTTACATGTTACTTAGCTGACATTTTACTGTGTATGCATATTCAGTGAAAGTACTTATGTGCATAGGTGGACACTGCTGAACACTGTACCCATATAGCACACCATTGAGATCAGGAATAAGAGGATGTTTCACTTTTAATCCTTGGTCACTTTTTGGTCTGTCTTCTATGACTACCAGCTGGAAGCATGGTGAGTTTTGTGATGTGCACAGTATTTGTTAACTTTCCCAATTACATGCATGGACATTGGCTGAAATGGTGAGCTAAGCTTCATGGCTGCTTACAGACATTAAAAAAAAGTGCTTTACTGGAAGAAGCAGAGCATTAATTCGACCTGGCTCTGCAACATCTTTATAGATCAAGCACTTCAGCAGGGCTTTTTGGTGCTTTTATCTAAAGCTGATTCAGTCATCTATTAGATAAAAGCACCAACCCCCCCCCACTAGAGTGCCTGATCTATACAGTCATTGGGTGAGCTGGGTTCAACTAACATGATGCTTCTTCTGGGCATGCGCTGGACTCAGCATGGGGCACACAGAGTTTCAAATAAAGTGCCATTTGGGGGTTTTTTTTAATGTCTGTAAGCAACCCATTAGGCCAGACAACCATCAAGTTCTAGTAAGTCAGTGTTGTCACAAATGTTGGCATGAGTTGTATTGTTGCTTGTGAGATGATACCTTTTAAATTCCATTATCAACCCCATAAGACATCCAGTCACTTGCATAATTGCACTTTCTCTTACTTACCTATATAGTCAGTGTTGCTTGGAATTGATTTGGCAGGAAATATGACATTATGGTGTGCTGCATCATTGGACGGAGGAGGTTCATAATCATCACTATCAGGTCCTGCTTCACCTGGTTCTTCACTTGGAGACTCATAGTCAGCTTCATCATCCTGGTCATTTTCATTATCTGGGCTCTCATAGTCATCTTCTTCATCCTGTCATATGTGAGTGAAAACCTGATGTAACCACTGGGTACTGCGTGGCTTAGTAAAAATCTCTATAAAGTGTTGCCCTTCACCATAGAACAGAAGTTCCCAAACACTGGGCTGCAGCCTGGTACCAGGCTGTGAAGGGTTGGCTGCTGAGTCATGGCATGGGCCCCCGCCCCCCCCACCAGACACCCATCTGTCCACCTGAGCAAGAAGCTTCTGCTGCCAACAGTCACATGCAGAGTTAAAGTTGGGCAGCAGTGCAGCCCTGGGTGGGAGACAGCCGGCTCCGTGCAGCCTGTCCCGTTCCCATGCCAGGCTGCAATATAAAAAAGGTTGGGAACCACTGCCGTAGAAGATACCAAATCACACAGGAACGATTTGATTCTTTACTGAAATGCAGTGGTGGGATGCACTGGTGGAATTAGCCAGTGGTAGTTATTTACAAAAAGCATATAACGCTTTTTGTCTTAAACTGTGGTATCTTTTCACAATAGCAGCATTAGCTGAAGTTTGAGATGGAAAAGTTACCCATTTGAATTTTTTCTTTCCTATCTATGTTCTTATACAATTTCCACCACCTTAGCATTGGAATCACATAGATTAATATTTTAATTCTTAGAAAGAATGGCAGAAAAATGTACAGGTACAGGACCTCACTTTTACATCTCATCCAAATGGTGGTATTTGCAAGTAATAGTACCTCTTGGGAGCAAGTTGAGGCATTCATTCAGTGGTGGCATGATCAGTAGGCTGTTCATCTTTTTAACATAATTTCCTAAAGCAACTAGGATTTTGTCTGGAGTCTTATAGCCTTGTATTAACCCAGTCTAATTTGTATATTCTGTAACATAACAGAATTTCAGCCCAAGGTGACATGACTGTAGCTATATCAAGAGTCAGTGTAACTTGTTACTGATATAAAAAGGCCATGACAAGCTTCTAGAGTGGGAGTTGCAAAAATGCTCAGCATTGACCAACCTTTGATTCTCCTGAAGGCAGTGGTAAAACGGCCACTTGTTTCAAGGGAGGGAATTGCATCAGCACTCAACATTTTTAAAGCTGTGTAATAAGGTTTCAAAACACTGGCGCTGGCTGCAGGGCTAGTCAGTATTGCACAAAGTAAGAGTGTATGTTTCTCAATTTGTTTGTATTCAGCCAACCAACTGAGGTTTCTTCCTGTTATCTTCCTGCTACATTTTCCATACAAAAAGGTTAAATGCATACTTTCAGTCTAGATTGTTTTTTCCATGATGGGGAACAAAAAATGGAGAGAACAGATACAAATGATTTATGATCGAGACAGTGACTCACTTTTGTACATGAAAGGAAGCATGTAATGGTGGCAATGTTTTCAGCTGGAAAATGTTTCCTTCAGCTTCTAAACATGCAGATCATAGTGGCCAGAATGGCAACATATTTTTTTCTTTAAGCTACAAAGCCACACTTCTTTTACTAATCATTGTTTCCAAAGGAGTGAAATATAACTATGAAATATGGTTATAAATCCATGTGAGCAGAATGCAGGCTGTGATCTCTTGATCCAAACTGAACCTAGAATCAGGACTACAATCACAAAGTTTTTGTTTGTTTTTTTGGTGTTTTTCATTGCTGATGTCAGAGTATTAGGCCTAAGAGAGCTCCAGTCCTCTCTGCCTTCTTTTCTTCCCTCCCTGTCCCCAAACAACCTCAGAATTTTCCTTTTCTTCTACTTCTGCTGGAAAGGAGGGGAGGAAGAGGCAGGAAATGATAGAACTTATGGTAAAATTTAGACCACAGGATCTGCTTTTGGGGGTTAACTGTATGAAAACAATAATACTTACAAATGAAGACCAGCCCCCATCCTCTTCTTGACTGTATCCTGTGTAAGGAAACATATCATTGGTCCTTCATTAGCACATCATGTTGGCTTTAAAGTATTAAAGTTTCATCTGATAAAAAAGAGACCCAAACAGCAGCTGAGCTACCATTATTATGCCACAATAACAGGCCATGTTATCCAAATGAAAGCATGCACGCAGTTCCCATAGATGCCAACAGGCATTTTGTACACAATTTAGCAGGGATGTTCTCAAAGATAGTAGTTGGTTTAGCAACCTTTATGTAACATGACACATGCTATTACCTAAAATGTGCCCTGCTCTTCTGGATTTAAATGCTAGCTGAAGCGTTTTCAAAACTGACTCAGCTGTTGTATGTGTCCTTTTTTGTCTGTTTTCAGCAGGCCTAATCATTGGTAGAGGGGGAAGGGCAGGTGGCTCTGTGGAAACGCAGGTGCTCTTGGCCCATTTAATAAAGTACTTGAAATAAAATCTGAGTGAGAGACTGTCTAGCCAATAATGAGTGACTGTTGCAAGGAGCAGGACATAGGTGCAATGGGGAAGCATTCATGTCACTATCTCCCTACTTCCTTTTCCTTCCCCACGCATATTTTTACTCTTAAAACCCCTTTTTTTTTTACTTCTTTTCCTTTTGTCTTTCATCCACTCTATCACTTTTTGCAGTTTTCACTTTTTGTCTTTCCCAACTCATCATGGCCTATTGCTTCTTCTTGCCCTTCACGTGCTACTCTAACTTCTTTCAGTCCCTTTCCACTTTCTCCTCCTG